GAAAGCTGAAAAGATCCTGCTCAGAGAAAATAAATTTTCCACAGAGAAGGTAAATTTTGAAAAACAAAGAAATGCTGAGAAGAAAAAACATTGTTTGCAAGGAAGGGCTATTGCATAAATGTCAATGGTTTATAAAAGAAAGAAAAAAAAATAAAAAAAGCTTTGGTAAACAAAAAATATAAAATATTACAGAATTAAAATTAAAAAAATCCTCAAAGGAAGCAGCCACTCTCCCTACCACCACAACTCTCCAAAGTAACACCAACCAAACAAGGAACCAAAAGTCCAACCAACCAATCAAGCAACCAAACCAAAACTAAACCAGAAAATATCCCCACAAATATGGACCGATTGAATAAAAAATTACAGTACAAATTTTTATCTCTACATTAGTGCTCAAAATCGCCTTTCTCTTCTGAAACATGTCTCAGAATGGTTTTCTTAGCACTACTTTTCTGCTCCGCAATCTTTGCGCTTAACTTACATTGTATGTACGTACAGAAACTGTGAAGCACAAAGCTGGCCCTGAAGACGCATTGAAGTGACTTTAATTGCTTGAAAAGTAGACTTACCACCAGGAGCAGGACCACGAGGTGTACAGGTTCCTTGGGGTACAGCGGGAAGCTGAAAAGATTCTGTTCAGAGAAAGTAAATTGACTTCAGAGAAGGTAAATTTTAAGACCAAGGAAATGCACAGAACTGAAATGGTTGTGGTTGCAAGGAAAGACTATGTTGGTTCCAGACACAGTGTAGGTTCTCTAGGGTGACACACCAGGGGTTGTGTCGGTTCCAGACACAATGCAGGCTCTTTGTCTACACTCTCTTCCATGTGTTGGAATAAAAATAAAAACAACAAATCAAGGGAGAATCTACATTTATTTTGAAATCTATCTCACTAAGGCATGTACTTGAAGTATTTGTAATTGCTTGCTTCTTGTATTGAGAGCTTATTTGTAACACAGGGGATCTGATTATAGATATTAATCTTTAATAGACCAAGGACATTTAGCAAAAGTATCCTGCCCTAGGAAGGGCTGGAAAGCAATAGCACTTTGTTTGCTACAAATACTTACAGACACCTTTACCCCCTCACCATTAGAATTCCTAATTCCCATGGTTTTAATCAAGGGAAAAAACTTATTCTGAAATCTCCCTGAAAAAAATTTTAATCCCTGAGTTACGTTTCCCCATCCTCTTTCTCTTCTGAAAAATGTCTCAGGACATTTCTGTTATCATCAGTTTTATTGCTCCTTTATCAATAGGTATATCAATATCAATTAGGTATTGTTGTATTCCCCTACAGAAGCTGTGCAGGAGGAAGGGAGATGCTGGCTCTGAACCCACATCCAAGCGACTCTAATTGCTTGAAAAGCAGACTCACCATCAGGAGCAGGGCCACGAGGTGTACCGGTTCCTCGGGGTACAAACGGAAGCTGAAAAGATCCTGCTCAGAGAAAATAAATTTTCCACAGAGAAGGTAAATTTTGAAAAACAAAGAAATGCTGAGAAGAAAAAACATTGTTTGCAAGGAAGGGCTATTGCATAAATGTCAATGGTTTATAAAAGAAAGAAAAAAAAATAAAAAAAGCTTTGGTAAACAAAAAATATAAAATATTACAGAATTAAAATTAAAAAAATCCTCAAAGGAAGCAGCCACTCTCCCTACCACCACAACTCTCCAAAGTAACACCAACCAAACAAGGAACCAAAAGTCCAACCAACCAATCAAGCAACCAAACCAAAACTAAACCAGAAAATATCCCCACAAATATGGACCGATTGAATAAAAAATTACAGTACAAATTTTTATCTCTACATTAGTGCTCAAAATCGCCTTTCTCTTCTGAAACATGTCTCAGAATGGTTTTCTTAGCACTACTTTTCTGCTCCGCAATCTTTGCGCTTAACTTACATTGTATGTACGTACAGAAACTGTGAAGCACAAAGCTGGCCCTGAAGACGCATTGAAGTGACTTTAATTGCTTGAAAAGTAGACTTACCACCAGGAGCAGGACCACGAGGTGTACAGGTTCCTTGGGGTACAGCGGGAAGCTGAAAAGATTCTGTTCAGAGAAAGTAAATTGACTTCAGAGAAGGTAAATTTTAAGACCAAGGAAATGCACCAGAGAAGGTAAATTTTAAGACCAAGGAAATGCACAGAACTGAAATGGTTGTGGTTGCAAGGAAAGACTATGTTGGTTCCAGACACAGTGTAGGTTCTCTAGGGTGACACACCAGGGGTTGTGTCGGTTCCAGACACAATGCAGGCTCTTTGTCTACACTCTCTTCCATGTGTTGGAATAAAAATAAAAACAACAAATCAAGGGAGAATCTACATTTATTTTGAAATCTATCTCACTAAGGCATGTACTTGAAGTATTTGTAATTGCTTGCTTCTTGTATTGAGAGCTTATTTGTAACACAGGGGATCTGATTATAGATATTAATCTTTAATAGACAAAGGACATTAGCAAATGTATCCTGCCCTAGGAAGGGTTGAAAAACAATAGCTCTATATTTTAAGATATATATATGTGTGTGTGTGTGTGTGTGTGTGTGTGTAGTAAATATATTTAAAGACGTATTTTACCCGCATCATTTTAACTGTTATGGTGAGATTTTTAATCAAGCAAACAAGCTTATTCAGCAATCTCCCTGACAAAATTTTAATCCCTCTGTTAGCTTTTACCACTTCCTTTCTCTTCTGAAAAATGTCTCAGGACATTTCTGTTACAACTAGTTATATTGCTCCATTATTTTTGCACTTGACTATTGTTATAGTTGCCTGCAGAACCTGTGCAGCATGACAAGAGATGCTGGCTCTGAACTCATATCCAAGTGACTCAAATTGCTTGAAAAGCAGACTCACCATCAGGAGCAGGGCCACGAGGTGTACCGGTTCCTCGGGGTACAGAGGGAAGCTGAAAAGATCCTGCTCAGAGAAAGTAAATTTACTTCAGAGAAGGTAAATTTTGAAAAACAAAGAAATGCTGAGAAGAAAAAACATTGTTTGCAAGGAAGGGCTATTGCATAAATGTCAATGGTTTATAACAGAAAGAAAAAAAATAAAAAAAGCTTTGGTAAACAAAAAATATAAAATATTACAGAATTAAAATTAAAAAAAACCTCCAAGGAAGCAGCCACTCTCCCTACCACCACAACTCTCCAAAGTAACACCAACCAAACAAGGAACCAAAAATCCAACCAACCAATCAAGCAACCAAACCAAAACTAAACCAGAAAATATCCCCACAAATATGGACCGATTGAATAAAAAACTACAGTACAAATTTTTATCTCTACATTAGTGCTCAAAATCGCCTTTCTCTTCTGAAACATGTCTCAGAATGGTTTTCTTAGCACTACTTTTCTGCTCTGCAATCTTTGCACTTAACTTACATTGTATGTACATACAGAAACTGTGAAGCACAAAGCTGGCCCTGAAGACACATTGAAGTGACTTTAATTGCTTGAAAAGTAGACTTACCACCAGGAGCAGGACCACGAGGTGTCCTGGTTCCTCGGGGTACAGAGGGAAGCTGAAAAGATCCTGCTCAGAGAAAGTAAATTTACTTCAGAGAAGGTAAATTTTAAGACCAAGGAAATGCACAGAACTGAAATGGTTGTGGTTGCAACTAAAGACTATTTGAATTGTCAATTGTATATAACAGAAAGAGTGAATAAAAATCTTTTTTTAAGGAAAAAAAATAGAAAGGAAGAAATTTAATGAACTGATAAAAAACCCATAAAACAGTCATTCACTACAAATACCTCTTCCCAATACAAAAAATCCAACCAATTAATTAAGAAACCGCACACCAACTGAAACCAAAAATATCCAAGCAATAAGGGCCAATAGGAAAAAAAAATACAGTAGTAATTTTAATCCCTGCGTTAGCTTTCACCATCCACTTTCTCTTCTGACACAAGTTTGATAACATTTCTGTTAGCATCAGTTTTATTGCTCCTTTATCTTTACAATTAGGTATTGTTGTATTCCCCTACAGAATCTGTGCAGCAGGAAGGGAGATGCTGGCTCTGAACCCACATCCAAGCGACTCTAATTGCTTGAAAAGCAGACTCACCATCAGGAGCAGGGCCACGAGGTGTACCGGTTCCTCGGGGTACAAACGGAAGCTGAAAAGATCCTGCTCAGAGAAAGTAAATTTACTTCAGAGAAGGTAAATTTTGAAAAACAAAGAAATGCTGAGAAGAAAAACATTGTTTGCAAGGAAGGGCTATTGCATAAATGTCAATGGTTTATAACAGAAAGAAAAAAAATAAAAAAAGCTTTGGTAAACAAAAAATATAAAATATTACAGAATTAAAATTAAAAAAAACCTCCAAGGAAGCAGCCACTCTCCCTACCACCACAACTCTCCAAAGTAACACCAACCAAACAAGGAACCAAAAATCCAACCAACCAATCAAGCAACCAAACCAAAACTAAACCAGAAAATATCCCCACAAATATGGACCGATTGAATAAAAAACTACAGTACAAATTTTTATCTCTACATTAGTGCTCAAAATCGCCTTTCTCTTCTGAAACATGTCTCAGAATGGTTTTCTTAGCACTACTTTTCTGCTCCGCAATCTTTGCGCTTAACTTACATTGTATGTACATACAGAAACTGTGAAGCACAAAGCTGGCCCTGAAGACGCATTGAAGTGACTTTAACTGCTTGAAAAGTAGACTTACCACCAGGAGCAGGACCACGAGGTGTACAGGTTCCTTGGGGTACAGAGGGAAGCTGGAAAGATTCTGTTCATAGAAAGTAAATTTACTTCCCCTAAGGCAAATTTTTAAGACCAAGGAAATGCACAGAACTGTAATGGTTGAAATGCTGTTACAAAACTATTAATGATTTATACCAGAAAGGAAACAAACACCTTTATTAGGAAAAAAAAAAAAAACAGTAGAAAGAGAAAGGAATAAAAGAATAAATAAATATAAATAAATATACTAAACAAATAAAGAAACAAACAAATTAATAATAATAATAGTAGTAGTAGTAGTAGGAAAAACCAAAACCAAACATCATACAACACATCCACCACTCCCCAAAATCAAAAATCTCAATAAGGGAACCAAACCAAAACTGAAAATATTAAATTTCTAAGCAAACTGAAACAAAACAAAACAAAACAAAATTTACGATAGTAATTTTAATCCCTATGTTAGCTTTCACCATCCCCTTTCTCTTCTTTGAAAAGTCTTACAACATTTCTGTCAAAACCAGTTTTATTGTTCCATTAGGTTAACATTTAAGTATTGTATTTGCCTTAGAGGTTGAGCAGCATGAAAGGAATTACTGGGTTTAGCTCACACATGCAAGTGACTCTAATTGCTTGAAAAGCAGACTTACCACCAGAAGCAGGAGTATGAGAAGCTGGTATACTGGATGCTTGAGGTGAAAGGTGAGGCTGAAAAATATCTGTTAGGAGAAGGTAAATTTTAAAAAACAAGGGAGTACACAGAATGGGAATAGTTATGTTTGCAAGAAAACACTATCACATAAATGTTAATGGTTTATAACAGAAAGAAACGAAAAGGCTTTGGTGGAAAAAAAAAAAAGAAATTAAAAGAAGTAATAAATGAAAAAGATCAAAAACCAAATACCAACTCACCCACAATCTCCACTCCCCAAAACCAAAAATATCCAACCAAACAAGGAACCAAATCAAAACTAAAATCAAAAATATTTAAGCTAATTGGTGACCAGTAGGCAATAAAACCCATTGCAGCAGTAATTTAATTCCTGTGTTAACTTTCACCATCCCCTTTCTCTTCTGAAAAAGTCTCCAAAAGTTTTGTCTGCATTAATATTATTAATCCATTTTCTTTGCACTTAAGGGATTGTTGTATTTTCCTTAGAAGTTGTGCAGCATGAAGGGAGGTGCCGTCTAGGAACCCACATCGGAGTGACTATTTTTGCTTGAAAAGCAGACTTACCTTTGGGAGACAGAGTAGGAGCAGGAGTAGCAGGAGCAGTAACACTTGCTTGGGGTGAAACACGAGGTTGGAAAATATCTGTTCAGTAAAAATATGTCTTAAAAAGCAAGGAAATGCACCTAATAGAAATGGTTATTTTTTGCAAGGATAGGCTGTTACAAAATGTTTATGATTGATAACAGAAAGGAAAAATAAAAAGCATTTGCTTGAAAAAAATATAAATAAAAGAAAGCAACTAAAAGACGTACTAAACAAAAAAAACAAACCCCAAACACCCACCTACTCACCTGAACTACTCCCAAAACCAAATAATGCCAAGAAACCCAGCATCCAAACCAAAACTAAAACAAAAAATACCACACTAGGAAATAGGGCCTAATAGAAAAAAACTGCAAAAATAATTTTAATCCGTGTGTTAGCTTTCAGCATCCCCTTTCTCTTCTGAAAAAAAGTCTCAGAAATTTCTGTTACCACCAGTTTTAATGCTCTCTTATGTGAACAAGTAAATATTGCTGTATTTTCCTTAGAAGTTGTGCAGCATGATAGGAGATGCTGGCTAAGAACCCACATCGGAGTGACTATTTTTGCTTGAAAAGCAGACTTAGCATCAGGAGGAGGAAGAGGAGTAGAAGGCGTAACGGCTGCTTGGGGTGCAACGCTAACCCGAAAAATATCTGTTCAGAGACAGTAAGTTTACTTCAGAGAAGGAAAATTTTAAAAAGCAAGGAAATGCACAGAACTGAAATGCTTATGTTTGCAAGGAATAATGATTATAAAAACATTAATGGCTTATAACCTAGAGCAAGGAAGAAGTCTTGGGGGGAAAAAAAAAAAAAAAGTATAAAATAGGAAAAAAATTAAAAGCAGTATTAAAAAAGTCAAAAACCAAACACACACCCAATACTGCTGGTCTGCAAAACCAAAATATCCAAGCAACCAAACAACCAAACCCAAACAAAAACTAATAAAATACCCAGGAAAATAGGGATCAATAGAAAAAAAAAAATGGTAGCAGTTTTAATCCCCGTATTAGCTTTCATCACCCTCTTTCTCTTCTGAAAAATATCTCAGAATATTTTTGTTAGCATGAGTTTAATGCTCTGTTATGTTTACAATTAAATATTGCTGTATTTGCCTACAGAAGCTGCGCAGCATGAAGGGAGATGGTGTCTCAGAACTCACATCCAAGTGACTTTAATTGCTTGAAAAGCAGACTCACCATTGCTTTCAGGATCATGAGGTGCAGCATCTCCTTTGGGCACAAAGCGAGGCCCAACAGATTCTGTTCAGGGAAAGCAAATTTTCTTCAGAGAAAGTAAAATTTAAAAATGCAAGGAAATGCACAGAACTGAAGGGGTTGTGTTTGCAAGGGAATGCACAGAACTGAAGGGGTTGTGTTTGCAAGGGAAGGTTATTACAAAAATGTTAATGATTTATAGCAGAAAGAGAGGAAAAATGGAAGGCAAGGCAAGGCAAAGGAACAGAAGGGAATTAAATGTAATAATATAAAAAAATCAAAAAAATAACACCCACCAACACACCACCACCACTCCCCATAACCAAAAACATCTAACCAACCAAGCAACCAAATCCAAACTAAAACTAAAATTGAACTATATCCAAGCAACTAAGGACCAATAGAAAAAAAAACATTACAGTATGAATTTTATTCCCTGTGTTAGCTTTTACCATCCCCATTCTGTTCTGAAAAAAGTCTCAGAGTGGCACTGTTAACACTAGTTTTATTGCTCCATTAGGTTTACATTAAGTGTTGCATTTGCCTACAAAATCTGTGCAGCAGGAAGGGAAATGTTTGGTTTAACTCATATCCAAGTGACTCTAATTGCTTGAAAGGCAGACTTACCATTACTGTCACGAGCATGAGCAGGAGGTGTTTTGGCTAGTTGGCGCCCAATACGACGCCAAAAAGGTTCTATGCAGAGAAAGTAATTTTAAAATTAAGAAGTTTTTAAATTTTAAAGAATTAGGAAATTCACAGCACTGAAATGGTTGTGGTTGCAAGGAAAGATCATTACAAAAGTATTATTGGTTTATAACAGCAAGGAAGGAAAAAATCTTTGGTAAAAAAAAGGAAAGAAAGAAAATCTTAAACAGGAAAAAAAACCCCCCACAAAACCCCATAAACCAAAAACACCCCCAACCAACACCACCACTCTCCCAAAACAAAAAATCCAAGCAACTGAACTGAAACTAAAACCAAATATTCAAAGAAATAAGAAAAAAATAAATACGGGGAGGGGAGGGGAGCTTTTTTTGATAGAAATCAAAAACCAAACCCACCCACCACTACCACTCTCCAAAACCTACAAAATCCAACCAACTAAACAACTAAACCCAAACTAAAACCAAGAAAAACCCAAGGAAACAGGGTCCAATTAAAAAACCAAAAATACTTAGTAATTTTAATCCCTCTGGTTGCTTTCATCATCCCCTTTCTCTTCTGAAAAATGTCTCAGGACAATTCTGTTCACACTAATTTTATTGCTCCATTATGTTAGCAATTAGATATTGCTGTATTTGCCTACAGAAGCTGTGCAGCATGAAGGGAGATGCTGTCTCAGAACTCACATCCAAGTGACTCTAATTGCTTGAAAAGCAGACTTACCTTTAGAAGGAGGAGCAGGAGGTGTAACAGCTGCTTCAGGTTTAATGTGAACCCCTGAAGATTCTCTTCCTGTTGTTAATGCTTCATGTCTGGCAGATGCCAGTGAGTAGAGCTCCATAAAACTTTTAAGCACATTCTTTAAATAATAGTAAAAGGAATCATTAGTGCCAGGCAAGCTCTACTTAAATGCCAAATAGGAGACATCCAAATTTGTTACAAAAGACACAATATTTTTTAGCAGAGACATCACATAGTCAATAGTATATAATATATAGATAGAAAGATAGATATAGATACAGATATATAGTATATATAGTGTATATAGATATACATATATGTAGTATATAGTAGTAGGCAGAATTTCAGTCCCAGGACTTAAATATCAGAAAGGTCTAACACTGGATTTTGCATTTATTCTCAAATCTTGAATATTAATATCATTGAAGAAAAGGACATGACTCCACATTCTAGTTCAGAACATGCTTTGATGAGATATTTTCAAGCATGCAGTACAGCACTGAGTTCTTGATACAATTTTTTCATTTTATTTCAGTACAAGACTCAGTGCGGATTCAATTTCTGTTCCCAAAAAATTACAACACAATTTCAGGCTAATGTTCACACTTCCAAAATTAGTCAATTTACTAATCTTTCCAATCCTCAGCAAAAAAAAGTAACTTGACTGAAACAGAAGAAACACACTAAACCTACAAAGCTCAAAAAACAATCTGATTGCAATATAACTGGAAAAATGTAACTGTTCCCATGTATGTAGCGGAAGAATGTCCCAATTTTGTTATACTGATTAGATTGATAATAAAGCTAGCAGGACAAGAGAGCACAAATGATTTGGCAGTACTGGAAACTTTATATTTACCTTAAGTATTCTCAACTAACCCTTGAAATGATTGGTCTTTACAATGGTTAATCACATTTTATTTGTTAATTTTTCCTTTCAGATTATATGAAATTGGTCTTTTGAATGTAAATCTGTGGTATAAACAAAAATCAGCTTAGTACCACAAACAGGAATATACAAATATTTTTGCAGTTTTCGTTTCCTTGGTTTCACACTGCTGCTTTTCAGAATAGATGTTAACACAGCTAAAATCAATCTAGTTACTTCGTTGTGGTGTCTAGGAAATATTAGCAGCAAATTAACGTGTATGGCATCTTCTCTCATCAGAATAAATCTCCAAAATGTCTTGGTCCTGTGGCTCTAGTCCTAAAAAAGGATTCTTGCCAATTATAAGGCCTTTAATTGAAATGTGCTTGTCACAGACTAAGGCATTTCTAGATGATGTGCCTGAAAACAGCTTCACTACTTTTAATGACAAGTGTCCCTCAAGTGATTCTTAACTGCTTGCCTCATCCAAGACTGCAGGATTTCCCTCAATACAGTTTGGCATAGAGTAAAATTAAAATCCACTGGGTGACCTCTGGCTATAAAAAGCAAATTCTGTAATAAAACCTCAAAAATGTGCTTGGAAAGGAATCAAACAAACTAGAGACAAGGGCAGGGGAGAGGGGGGGGGGGAAAAGGGGGAAAGAGAGATGGGGAAAGGGATAAAGAGGAAAAGGGAAGGAGAAAAGGGAGTTTGCAGTGACACAGACTGTGAGCCATTAGTGCTGTTTTTATATGTCCTGGGTTACCAAGTGTAACCAAGATGCTGCCAGGTGAACAAGAACTTTACAATTCTGCCCCTCCAGTGAGCTCCCCAGCATGTACTGTACTATGTTAGTTATACCACAAGCACTTTGTGCAAATATGAAATGCAACTTTTTGCATTTCTGATTCTCTTCCAGAAAGAAAGAAGGAACAGGGTGCCCTGCAGATGCTTCTGCAATCATTGTGAGGTCAAAAATGATTGTGAGTTGGGATGGAGGGTAAAAAAAAAAAAAAGGAAGCATCCAAGCATCCACTAGCAAATTAGAAAAAGTATAATTTAATAGCTGGTGATTGCCACAATTCCTCCTGTGAAAAGATGCCATCTGTGGGACCTTTTGTAAAGCTGTAAAATGTATCATCACAGTACTGGGGAAATATTTGAAACTCTACCCTTTGGCAGAAAAGTTCATCTGTGCTAGTTAAGCTTCATGGGAATCTCAAGGCATTGCATATTACATATTTCCATATTTTAGTGTGGACATATGATAATGCACACATAATTTATATCTTTATCACATTGAAATGCATGTGTGCATGCAAGAGGGTGACAGTGAGAAAATCCCAGCTTAGAATCTGCCTTTCTTGGGTGTTAGTCCTGTGTATATTAAGGGGAAAAAGAGAGGGGGATAGAAGGATATTAACTTTCAGGTATATGTACTTTTGTCCATGTTTGTATTCCCATCAGTTATTTAATGCTGTAAAATTAAGAAGTGCCATCATCTCTGAAATACCATATGCAAGTGTATACATGGAAATTGTCTTCCAGCTGTTGACTGCAATAGTTTTGAAGCTTTTTGCTCTCCACATGCTCAGAGCAGTCTGTCTGTGTGTTCTATCTCAGATGCAAAAATTGAAAGAAAATAAAAAAAATATTTAAACAGGATTGGTTTTAGACTCTAACCTGGAATGCTATAACCTCTGGCCTGCTGCTCACTGTTTCCTCTGAAAGGGTCTCAAACTTCAGGCTGGGGAGTAGCGTGGCTGCTGCAGCACCTGATGCCGTGGCCTGATCTTTGATCTAAAAGGAAGAAAAACCCCAGCATCACTGGTAATTTGCCTTCAGTCACACCAGCTGGCATGAACTGGGTCTCCTTGAGCTCCTTGAGTGGACTTGCATTGATCACTGGACCTAACGTCCATGAATAAAGTACAACTGATTGAATTTTCATTGCAAATAAGTCTCTAATTCGCAGTTCTGGGAGAGGATGCTGCCAAAAAATAAAAAATAAAAGTAACTTGCCCTGGCCTGAAAAGAGAAAGACCAAAGATAAGGCATGTGTGTATTACTGTAAAAACACAGCACTTGCTGTGTGACATCCACTTCCAAAGTTTGAAAGAAATCATTACGAAGATGGTGGTGGCACAAAGGAAATGTTCTGCCAGCATAGTTTGCCCTAGGTGAAACACACGGTTTAGGTTCTGTCACTTTCTGTGAACATTAAAGGAAAGAGACTTGAAAAGATATCTGAAAATGAAATTAACAACAGTTTTGGTGAATGCAGAAACTAAAATAGAGATTTCCGTGTTGCTAGGAATTAAAGGTGTAGTAAGGGAAATTGATACTCCAAGGTAATGAAAATACATCTTTTGCTCTGTGTTGCTCTAGATTAAAAGCAGTTACAAACCTGTTAGAGATATAATTGGAAATAGTTGTTTCTCCTAAATAGTTAATATATACAGCTTAGTTGGACCTTCAAATAGTCCTATGCCAGGATACAATTGTACAAGTCAGAGACAAAACTTGAGATTATTATTAAATTTAAAATATGCTTTAAAAAAATACTATGGAAGTTTCTGACTAGAGATTATTACTTCCTTTCTTTTCTTTTCCTATTTATGATGTTTCAGAGGTTAAAGTAGGAGACACAAAGCCATGTGTCTTACAGCCATCACGTATGTGACCTCATTATTCAGTAGAGGATTAACTCCACAACATTTGCTGATTTTTTGTGTGTTCCATTAGTCTTCACTTGGCAACCACAAATAGTGCTCAGTGAGGGAAGGAAAGCAAATTTTGTCATAACTTCTACATTTAGAACAACTTGTTTGTCTGCTGTAAACTTGCATTTTATCTCACTGTGATTTTTTAAGATGGAAGAAGTTAAATGGGGAAAGTTCAACTCTGAGGAAAGGAAGTTGCTTTACAACAACTTCTCACCTGAGAATAAGCAGTTCTAAGGCTTTGACATGTTTGGAAACACAAATCAGAGGGAACACTTCAAATTCTTACCGCATTCAGGGTGGCATCAACAGCTTTCATATGATTAATCATCAACTCTTTGTCTCTATTATAAAGGAAAAATGAAACAAAAAACTAAATAAGAACAATGGAGTAACTTTATAGAACTGAAGCTCTACCAATGTAGAAATTAATCTTCTGCTATTTCATGACTGTCACATCTCGTAAAAGGATTGTTGATAATTCAAACTTAGGATTTTCTCTCTTATTCATATCTCCAATGTAAACCCTAAAAATAGTTCATGTGCCCCTGTTTGGTGCATTTCCATACAAAAGGTGCTTCCATTGAGGATAAGCAATTAAAATAGATGAAATTATAGGCCTATTAATGAACAACTATCATGGCTTGGATATAGAGTCATAAAGAGACTCTTGCAGGATTTTATTATATTCTTGTACTGGAAAACACTGACAGATTCTGTTTGGAACATATAAGCAAAGCAGATGGAATAAAGGGAGGAAAAAACCCTATTTGTTGTGAAGAGTTGCTAGAATAATGAAGGGAAGGGTAGATTTCTTTGTTGCTATTCAGCTACTATATAGAGGGGGGAAAGGCCAGTTTTAAAGCCACATCACATTAAAATAATCTTTTCTGGATATATGTATGGCCATAAGGAATGATCATTACTAAAATGTCCAAAATAGATTAGAGCAGGATGAAAAGTGCAAGCTTTTTAGAACAAATCCTTCTGCAGGTCACACCTGCTTTGATGAAATCATACCAAATAACATTTGTCATTTTAATTAGCTTGTTAAACATTTCATTGAGGACTATACGAATTACATTATTTCCCTAGTGCATAAAACCCTTAAAGCTTCTCAGTTGTTGTTCTTCGGAGGTAAAATGATCCCAGGTACAGTGGGAAATTTTAATTAAATAATTTTTTTTTTTTAAATCCTAGGCATGAAACAGTAATATCCATAATGCATACTTCATACTGTGATAATATTAGAAAACGAAGTCTGCAAAGATTTATTTTTTTTGTCTGACCATATGGCTGTAAGAATAGGTTAGTAACAACCTAACTCCTACAAGTCAAGGGGGCTCCTTTGGACTACCAATATTTTCAAGACCAGTGCCTGAGCCTTTCCTTCCACTCCAGGTTATGATGTAAATGGTGTGGGGGTTAGGTCTAAATCCAAAACTCCCTGAAACTAGGTCCAAAATGGGATTCAGTCCCTTTGGCAGCTAAGACTTGTCCCCTAGCTGATGCTTCTATATTTACTATAAATCAATTGTCTACAAAAAGATGGCATGGAAACACAGAGAGCATACAAACATTTCTGAAATAAACACAACTTTAAGGATCTGCCAAAGAGATGCTGTCAGATCAGTTAGATAGCACAGCTATTTTGTTTGCCAGTTATTTCAGCACCCAGAATTTGGAGCACTATTATGTCATAACTATAAAATGTATGACCTCGTATTCTGAACTGACACTTTTGTTTTAAGAAGACTATACCTGAATTTTTTAAAAATTAGATGGATGTACTTTTCTCTTCTAGCCTTACACTGGCCGGGTCTAAAACCGTGCCCATGGAATTGGGAATTGAATTTTTTTTTCACTTTAAGGGGCATCCCCAGGGCTCACTTTGCTGCCTGTTGGAGGGCATGTTCTGCCTCCTGGAGAGTCTCATGCAGCCGCTGCCGGTCCTGCTCTATGTCTTTCAGGAGACTCTTCTGGTGATTCAGGACTTGGTCTCTTCTCAGCTCCTCTGTGGCATCATGGAGGCTCTGTCAGCAGTCAGAGAGCAGAGCTACTTATCAGCCCAAATAAACTTCACTTTATGCCATTGGCTACTAACCAATGTGGAAGACAAATCAATTGTGAAGTAGATTTGGACCACTGCATACAAACATTTTATGAATTTCCCAGCAAAAGCATTACTGACTCAGAACCCCCCTCCTGCCCCCCTGTTTTTAGTATATTTTAGTATATTGCTATGTACTGTGTAATGTGTTTTATAAAAAAAAATTATTGTTGGCAAAAAAAACCAAAACAAACCCCCACTGAAGACTTTTTCTTACATCTTTAAGAATAAAATACCCATAACTTAAAAAAAAAATAAAAGCTATTGAAGTGTTTTCTCAGTAGCCTAAAAGTCCAGCAGACTGAGCAGTGTCTGTGTATTTATTCCTGTTATTTTATTTACACAAAGACTGCACTATTTGATTTATTTAACAAAAGGTAAAACTGTGGTGACTGTTCCAGAAGAATAATCTTACCATCAGAGACGCCTTTGAGACTTGGTTTCTATCTGGGTCTGCACGTGTGTGCAATTCTAGTCTATCACTTAACTCCTGAAGCCGTTGCTGGTGTTCTTGTAAAAGCAATCTTGCCTCATGCTCACGCTGCAAAGCTTTATCCAGCTCGTCACGTATATTGTCTTGGGTGATTATTTTCTGGAAGGAGAAAGAAGTTGTGTCTTACTCTGTAACTATATTCAGCGGTTTCCCTACCTGACTTCCTGTGTTCCATTTGCAAACATACCAAATTTTAAAATAAACACATGCCTAGGATTAGTATTGAGGTTTTTTAACATGAAGGCAGATCACTGAACAATAAAATGGCAGACCAGATAATTACTGTGGTTTTTTATAAAGAACATTCATGTAAAGTCTTGACATTCATTATTCTATTCAAATTAACACCCCAGGATGAAAAACCTCAATATTTAGAAGGAAAATTATGCAGATCAATGTTCAAAATTTTACTGGATAGCTTATTAACCCTTGTAAACACATTTGTGGATTGTTTTTCTCCTCCAAACACTGTTCCAGAAAGAAATAATTCTTTAAGGAAAGTCACCTTCTGCGTTCAAACTACAATCTAAAATGTGACTTTTCATTTCACTTTTCGAAGTGTGAATTTTTATCTAACTGTCCCAAAATACTAAGGGAATAAAACCTGTTAAGAACAAAACTGAAGATGATTAGATATTTTTGAGTTAAAAAAAAAAAATAAAAAAATTAGAAAATCCATTTTACCAGTTAGGAACAGGAAGGACGATGGAGCCTTCCATCATGTAGCAGATATTCTCTGCTTAGAAGTGTTTGGATTGGGACACACTGACAGGTTCTACCAACTAGGCTTCAGGGTGGGGAACCCACAGTGTTTCAGTAAGTCAAGCCACAACAGCAAAAGACTCAGGGGAATTTTGTGCATTTTTGCTACTGAGAATATATAAAAAGGCTTTTTTTCCCCCCCCGCCATAAAGTTACTTCTTCAGGGAAACAGGCCCACCAAAATCAGTATCTTATTTATTATAACATTCATCAACATCCACACAGAGTTTAACCTGCTATATTTAAATTTCATGAACATTCTTATTGAATACCCTCATTTCAGCTGACTTTACTCTGTTGAAGTGAAATTTTCTTTTAGGTTACATAAATCACATCAACATTTCCAAAAAATGTGAGAACCTGGCTTGCTGAAGACCAAACTGTAACTTATACACAATACCCCCTTCTACAAATCAAAAGGAAACTCCAGTGGTAAAGGGGTATTTCTCAATACAACTGACTTCTAGTTTAGTGACATTTACAAGGCAAGTTTTCTGGAAAATTCTGTTAAAAGTAAATCAATTTTATGCTTGTTTTCCAAAAGAACACAAATAAAAAAATAGGTAGAAAGGAGAATCTCTTTTGAGCAAGAGAGTCTACAGATCAGATATACTTACATTTTGAAGTGCATTTAACTGCTCTTGAAGTCTGTGGGCTTTTTCAGCATCCTTCTGCATCTCATTGAAAGTCCATTTGAATTCTGCAAGCTGTAGGTGCAGTGAGTGGGACTCTACCTCTGCTGTATGAAGCCTTCGTGATAATTTAAATACTTCTTGCTGCAAGATTGCTATGTTTCTCTGTCAGCAAGCAAAAACATGTTGATGGGCTATAAAATCTGCTATTTTAGCAATAAAATAAATCATATTTAATACCCAAGAAAATTAAGACAAAACTATAATTTTCCTCATTCTCTAAGAGACATACACAAGGGCAAAGGTTTTAACCTGTCACCTGCCAAGGGTTACTGCAAATTACAAGGAAGTACTATTTTCACCTAAAGTCTACTAAAAAGATTATGAGAGAAAGAGTTTATCCTTTCATTTTGGTTAAAGGTAAGAAGGTTATCTTTACTGAAAGATAGCATGGTAAACATTAGAAAATAGAAATCATTAATAAAAAGCAACCTTGACATTTACATCAAGCCAAAAGCAAATTTGTTCTTATAAGCTAATAGAGTTCTGATAGAACTTGAAAAAAACCCAACTTTTACTTGGATACACTGAACTGCCTCCAAAAATTCCTTGTCAATAAAAGGAAAGACCTATTCACACACTAATGTGTGACAAACCAACTTCTGAGTGTCCATATAGTGTCCATATAGTGCTACTTCATTTTCATGGACTCATCACCAGCAAAATGAAGGGTCCTATCAAGGGAGCTTCACTGTTACTGTAAATCTTCTGTTTCCATGAAGGAAGACTGTAAATCTGCTTACTGTGCTGGGCAGTCTGTCATAAAATCCAGCTTCCAGGGCCTGGGCATTCACTCTGTGAAGTCCACAAGCCAGCCTCTGTATCAGGGAGTCCCTCTCCAGGTAAGCTCTGCAACCACAAGGGTTCCCTTGAACTGTCTCCATCAATACGCTCAGATTGTCCATCAGTTTTGAAAAGGAGTTCCTGGCTGCACTGATAAGTGAGTGTCCAGAAAGCCAGGAGTTTGGATCTTTAAGAAACAATGACAAAAAAGGAAACATCAAGCACATTATTAGTTCCAGTTTCTTGTAATAACTTGTTCTTCTTTATTTATACAGGAAGGAATCTGTAAATGTTCTGAAACACAGAATACTGTGAATACTGAAACATGGCTCAAACTTTGCTTTTTAAGGATATGAATTCAGTTTATTGGAAACAGCACGATCAAAGAAGAAAGTGCCTAAAACTGAATCTAAACACATTTGATTAAAGGACAACTTTTATAGCAATTTAGCATTTAGCCTTTTGGAAAATGCATCGCCTTGTTTTTGTCCTGCTATTTTCCTTTATTCATATAATTTTTCCCCCTTCTAATACCCTTTTTTCTGTGACAAAAATGAGGGGACTCTAAAACTACAGGTTAATAAAGAACCAGGGATAGCAGCAATGCAGATAAACCAAGGGAGCCTGTTTCTGTTCTCACTGCAAATAAACTCCACAAACACTCTCCAGCTTTCTGCTTCCATGGCTTCATATACAGAAAGGATAAAATACCCTATCAGCCATTAAAGAAAGCGAATCTGTTCCAACAGTACATGAGATGTGATCATTCAGAGAATGTAGAAGAGGGTTATTATTTTACCCAGCAATAAAGTTACTCCTTCTGGGAAACAGCCCCACTAAAATTTGTGTTGACTAGCTCAGGATATAACCTCTAGTCAAAGGTATCTATCATAATATTCAGAAATATCTCTTCAGAGCTATGATCCAGAAGAATTTAGATAAAATCCTAAAACTGGAAATGATGTGACCACCCTGACTTCTTTATTTTTTTAATAAATTTCTGCTACAACAATAAACTGTTAGAATTACCTGGTGTGCTGAGAATGTCATGCAGTTCAGAGAGGGAACTGACTATTACAGTATAGAGGTTAGAGCTCGTCAACCAATCAAGTGCTTCAATACAGTCAACTCCTTCCTCTTCAAAACCTGTGAAACAGAATTGCAGCTAGCAGGATAACTGAAACATTAGGATATATGGATGCTAAATCTGAACCACAGTGCCTGTACAAATTGCAGGCCGCATGGCTCCTCAGGCTGCCTGAGAAAGTATCCTGGGAAAAATAAGAGAAGGAATTAAAACAATTCTCAGGGACACTAAACAGCCTTGCAGGTGTTGTTTTGCAGCCTCTTGTTTCTCCTTGCAGGAGAGAGTCAGGGGGGCAGAGTGCCCCTGACCAATGATAGTGATGTAGCACTTTGTTAACCAATAGGAGTTTCTTTTCTGTACCTTCCACGTACCAGTCTATAAAACAGGCCTGAAGTAATAAACCAGAGAATTCTCGTGTTGTGACTCCCTTGAGAGTCCCGTGTCGTTCTTTCTAGCCGTTCCCAATTGGAATGACATCTGGTGACCCCGACGTGATGCTGAACCGACCCCTGAGGTTCGGTAACCTGACGTAAACTGCAGCCGACCCCCAAGGTCAGAAAGCAACCGACGTGACTTCTGCTAATCCCCTGAGGGTAAGCAGCGAGCGGGAAAAAGCCAGCCCTTCCCCCTAGAGGGGTAAGTGGAATTCTCCTGGGCTTTCCTAGAGGAAGCTGGTTCTGGAAACCAACGGGATAGTGGAGCCCTGCCGGTGAGCGGGCTTGGAACGGCTGTCTTGGCAAAGCAGAGCTCAAAATCCCGGGTCTGAGCCGATAGCGTGTGCATAATTGCATTCGCGGAGCCGCCAAGATAAAGTCCTCATAATGGGGAACTGTACTTCAGCTGATGAACAGCTTGCCTACCTTGCATGGCAGGATGCCCTGCCCTGCATGGGACTCAGTGTTTCTGAAGATGCCATGCGTGCTTTATTTCAGTGGGTGAAAGAGCAAGGTTTTGATATAACTATGGACAATGCCTTTGATCTCGAACTTTGGCTGTCGATAGAGAACCATTTATGGTCGGAATTGACTGACGGAGATACCAGTGTGGGTGGCCTGGCAGCCACCTGGGGGGCGCTTTTTAAGGCGCTGGAACGGAGCCAGTCTGAGGACAGTGAGGCCGGGATGGAAGACTTAGATGCCAGGAGTGCCTCTTTTGTACGAGATGAGAGACTGGGGGATGACACCGTAGATGAGTGGTGTAGCGCTTCCTCGGAGCGGCCTGGGTCCCCGGAGGACTTGGGCCGCGGGCGGAGGCAGGCTGCGCGCCAGAAATCCCCCCCCCAGGACCGATGCAGTGAGCACCGCTGCTAGCGGCGACGGGGGATGCTTCCGCCCCCCTGCTGCCTTCCACGGGGCCGGCGCTGCCCCTCCCCCGGACTCGCCGCAGCTGCTCTGCCACCGTACCTGCTGTAGTTTCTGAGCGGCAATCTACATCGCCTGAGGCAACCGGCCTGCCCGCCTCTTCTGGTGCTCGGGATGACCCAGCTGACAGCCTGCCCTGTGACCATCTCGGGCCGTCCCCACCCCGTTCAGTAGCTGCGTGTCTGCAGCGTCGGGCACATTTTTGGGATGTGGTGAGACAGCGAGCTTTGGAAATGGGGGATTGGGAGCTGCTCGAGAGGCTGGGGACACCTGGGACTGGGATTTTTAACACCGTAGTTGCTGGAGCGGGGGAGACGGAGGAAGGGCCAAAAGTCACTTCAGCTTCTGATGGCTGGATCCAGAGGGAATGGGAAGTCGGAGGGACACCCCAAGGGGCGGCCCAAGCCTTCCCTGTGTTTAAGGCTGCCCCAAATACGGGACAGCCCGACAGGCACGATGTAATAGCATGGAAGGTGGTACAAGATACACAGAGTAAAGTTACACAGTACGGGCTCGGATCTCCCGAGGTTATGCAAATCGTTAGGGTGATAGACACTGATCTGCTTGCTCCATATGATATTAGACACCTGGCTCAAGTTTTGTTCCAGCCTGTGCAATTTAAAGTTTTTGAAGATAATTGGAGACAGATGGCTCAGAAGGCTGCAGACGGGAATACGCGTCTGCCTGCACATGATCCCAGACATGGGATCAGAGTAGAGGCCCTGTTGGGTATTGGTGAGTTTTCTAATCCTGATATCCAGGCCCATTGGGACCCTAGAGTCCTTGAGCACGGGCAAAGAATTGGTATTGGAGCACTGCTAAAGACTATGGAAATGGCTGCTCCCAGGGCACGATATGTGACAATCACTCAGGGTTTAAAGGAACCCTTCTTGCCATTTGTTGAAAAAATTNGAACTTGTCACCCACTCCAGGGTCTAATCCTCTTGGCTGCAGGGAGGGGATGTTTGGCAGGAAAGTGGCCCAAGTGGTGAGCACTGTCATGTAGGGATTGATGGAAGTCTGCTTGAAGCAGACTTGAAGCACCACGGCGCTGCCCAGCACAGGGGGACGCTCAGTGCCCTGCTCCTGCTGCCCCACTCTTGCTGACACATGGCCAGCATGCCCCAGGCCTTCTTGGCCACCTGGGCCCAAGCTGGCTCACGTTCAGCTGCTGTTGAGTGACACCCCTGGGAGCTTTGTCCCAGGCAGCTGCTCAGGCACCAAGTTACACATTTGATTTAAAGACACCATCCAAAATTTGGAGATGTCTTTCCTGTTCTTAGCAACACAAGACAGCACTCAAGGACTTGCGGCTTTATCCCAGCCTCCAGGCTCCTGGGGAGTTTTCAAAGCTGCAGACTACAGAAAGAAAAGTCTCAAAAGACATATGGAGTCTCTGCTTTTGCCTCAGAAGAAGGGTTCAGAACTGTGCAGTTTGTGTCTTTTGCCACACAAGAGAAGAGTGGCCCCACATGGATTCACCGACAACAAAATCATCTCTTTGCAGCTTATCAAAAGCCAGAAGAGACGTGGGCTCAGAGCACCTGTCAGCTCTGCTACTGACTGCTCTGCCTGAAGAGGCAAAACAACAACCTGGCAACAAAGGCACCAAAATCCCTGATTTCAGTGAGAAATTTCACATCCCCAGTGTGTCTCTGAAATACTCCCAGGTAAGCACACCCAAGAAGGCCATGGAGACAAACCACCCCAAAGCGCTTGTGTGGTCAGATCCACATCTTTTGTGCCTGCAGCTACTTGGCCAGTCTGTAGGGCACAGGACTCTCCAGACCACAGTGTCCTCTCCAGAATGTGACATGGCTGAGCAGAGTGTCTTTGAAATGCTCCCTCCTCTGGGCACAGGGAGCCTTCATGATTCACGCTGGCCCCTCTCAGAATCCCAGCAATTGGGGGCCTAAACATGACAGATCAAAAGTCATTTTTCAGCTGTCATTGCCTGGGGTGACTTGCTAGATGCTGGCAGGACTCCAGCACTCAGCAGCCTCAGCTACCAACAGCAAGTGCTGGCTGCTGAGGAACTTGCAGCTGTGCCTTGCACTAAAGACAACACCAGCCAGAAGTGGCACTTACAGTCTCTGAATGTTCAGGCTGGGGTGTGACCACTGCTGGAGGCTCGTGGTCATTTTGCTCCTCTTTGGCCTCTTCTCCAGGAGCAGAGGGAGCCAGAGAAGAGTCTGCTGTTGGTTCTGGGCTCTGTGCACAGATAGTAGTGTTAGGGACAGGCAGCTACCTATCATTTATAACCTTACTTCTATTCAGCTCTATTTCTACAACCAGCTCGACTAAGGACAAATCATCCACTTTGATAGCAATGGGATTCTAAGTCACTCCAACTAAATGAAAATGGCTTAATTCAACTGGACTGCAAATTGTCTGAATTAGATCTCCCACCCTGGCTACTATCAAGAAGCAGTGCTCTCTCTGCAAAACTGGTCTTCTGGTTCTTTTAAAGCACTGCAGTAGAAAATGAGGAAATAGGCAGCAATGCCTTTGCTATCACTGCTGCAGACATGGAAATGGATTTCCTTTCAGCCTACTCAGCTGGCCACCTACACTCTGCTGCCACAGGCCAAGCTCCCAGCTTTCTCCACAATTCTCTAACAGCAGGAATATCAAAGGTTCCTTTCTCACTCACCTCAGGATCGGCACCTCTGAACACACGCCTCAGGTGACCTGCAGTGAGCAAGGGAAAATGAACGCAATGGGGTGAGAAAACTGCCTGGGCTGCTGAATCCCATAGAATAAGTGAACCCAAACAGAGGGTATTTTCCTCTGACAGCCTCCCTCAGGGGACACAATTCTTTCACACATCCAACAAGGAACTGGGCAATATTCTTGCTTGTGCCTACACTTTGGCCTCTTTTGCCAGTAAGTGAACACAAACTTGATCAAGAACATGCAAAGTGTTCTTTAACACTCAATGCTCGAGTCTTGTCCTACAGATAAAGTAGCTTTTGCTCTTTTCCCTTTCAGGTACTTTTTTAAAAGATAAGTTGCATGCAGTAATTCTCATTAACTTGCTGAAAACATTGGCCCAGAAAATCTTCCCCCAAATCCCCCTGAGCTGTGGCAGTTCTATTGTGCAGCACAGCAACAGCAGCTCCAGCGTTCAGAAGCAGACACTCGCTGCTTTGGAGTTTGCACTTCATTGCAAAGGCTATTGCTATTCTAGCACTCAGAAAAGGGTGAACTTAGTCAAATCCTTTCATGACAAAACTGAGAACAAAAGAAGCTTTCCCTCAATTATGGGGAGAACCACAAAGTCTTAAGAAGGCCTTCTGAGAAGGTCTCTGCATTTTCAAAGCTATCCTGCTTGAGCCAGCAAACTGAGGAAAGGACAGACTCTGCTGCCACAGACTCTCCTGTGCAGGGAATGGAACCCTTGCAAATGCTGCCTGCAGACCCCTGGCTACAGGCATCCCGTTTTCTGCTAAACTTGTTGACAGGAGCTTTAGCAAAGCAGTGGCATCCTAATGGTCCTTCTGTTTCAAAATCAACCCAGTGACTAAGAAAAAGCAGGAAGACAAAATCCTACAAAATCCAGGTTAGGTTACAGCCAGGGAAAACCTCTACTTACATGCCAGGTTTGTCAGGTAATACCCGGAATAAACAAAGCCGTAAACGGTGCAAACTGCAGCAGCGAGTGGCTCCATCATTGGAGCACTGCTGTGCCAGTTTGCAGACACTGCTCCAACACAAGATACACAAGGCTC